TTATAGCAGGGGGGCACCAAAAGATATAATAATAATGTAATAAAATACATGAGTAAAGTATGTAGTGTTGTGGGTAGAAACATCAGTATAAGGGATTGGGAATACTGGGCAGGAGCTAGAAGACAGGCATTAAAATTACAGTTTTTAATACAGTGTAGGTAGAGGTAGGCCTCATTGAGATGGTAAAGGGAACAGCCAGTATAAGAGTCCTAGGTCAGGAGCATGCCTGATTTATTAAAACAAGTTAGCCATGTGGATGGAGGAAGGGAGTAAGTGATGAAAAAAGTAGAGGGAAATGAAGTCAGAATATAAGAGACCAAGTTCAAGGCATGCAGATTTGTATATGGCTTTATAGGCTGCTGTTTGTGTAGCCACTATCATTCTGGCTGCTTTGTTGAGAATGGTCTGAGAGGATGGTGATAGGACCAGGGGGAATGGATTGAAGCAGTTGATACAATAATCTAGATGTGCGAAGTGATAGCTTTAAGAAATAGTTAGATTCTATATCTAATACATGTGCTTGACAGTTGGAAGTAGAGTATGAGAGAAAAAGAGGGATCAAGGCTAAGACCAAGATTTTTATAGCCTGAGCTACTGAAAGGTTGGAATTGTCAGTATCTGAGGGATAAGGCTGCGTTTGGGGAACATTTTAAAGAAATCAGAAGTTTAGTTTTGTACATTTTTTTAATGTTTATTTTTGAGAGAGTGAGCATGCGCACATGGGAGGGGGCAGAGGGAACAGGGTACAGAGGATCCAAAGCAGGCTCCATGCTGACAGCAGAACTCCAAATTGGAGCTCAAACTCACAAACCGTGAGATGGTCACCTGAGCCTAAGTCAGATGTTTAACTGACTGAGCCACCCTGGTGCTTCTAGATTTGCACATATGAAGAACGATATGTCTCTTAGAAATTCAACTGAAGATGTCCAGTAGAATGTTTTAGATGAGTCCAGAGTTCAGGAGAAAGAGCTGAGCTGGAAGTTTTTGGGTTATCAGCAATTGGATGACAGTATGAAGAGGGCTGGGACAGATGTTGAGAAAAAAAAGATGGTCAGGGACTGAGGCCTGGGATATTCACAGCATTACAAGGCTGGCTGAAAGGGACCAGCAGAGGAGACAAATAAGGGGAGAGTGAGTGAGGTCATACAGGTGGTGTTCTGAAAGTCCAGTGAAGAGAGTGACTGCTGAAAGGTCAAAGAAGGTGAGAGTTGGGAACTAACTGTTGCAAAACAAAACCTTGATAAGAACAGGTTTATGGAGTAATGAGGGTGATAGACTAATTTGAGTACATAAAAGAGGAAATGAAAGAGGAATTGGAGACCTCTAGTCTATATGACTTCTGCAGAGTTTGTCTGTAAGAGAAAATGGCATTATGGGGCAAATAGGAGAAGATGATTGAGACTTTTTAATGTGAAAGTAGAAGGGGTGCCTCGGTAGCTCCTTCATTTGGGCATCAACTTAGCTCAGGTCATTATGTCATAGTTCGTGGGTTCAAGCCTTGCGTGGGGCTCTGTGCTGACAGCTCAGAGCCTGGAGCCTATTTTGAATTCTGTGACTTTCTCTCTGTCTCCCCTGCCCTCTCTCTTTCTCTCAAAAATAAATAAACATTAAAAAATAAAATACAATGGAAGCAAGAGTAGTTTTTGGAGTGTGTCATAGGAGTGATACAGTAGATGAGGGATCTCTGATGATGTTTTTCACTTTATTCTGATCTTTTCAATTGAATCTTCACTAAAGAGGTTTTCATTTCTTTAATGGGTTTTTTCTTCAGTTTCTTTACATTTTGCTTCCTCTTGTCTCATTTTCTTGATGTGTTTTTTTGTTTGTTTGTTTTCCTCCCAAGAATCCCATCTTAACAGAGTAGAGAAGACCAGATATTCTTGTTTCCTGGATTCATTCTTTGAAAGCCAAGTTAACTGCTTTTTGCTATTTTTTTTTCTTTGGTTGGTTGTTTACAAATGAAGCAGTTGAGGCATTATGTTTTTTAAGTGTTATTAATTACAGTAGTTATTTGACAGTGTTGCTTATTAGATGCCCTTCTTTGTTGTGTTGCTGATCTTCGTGAAGCGGGAGCACAGCTCCTGGAAGAAGCTATTTATATACCATTTCCTGGTCCTGTTTTCTTACACTAATGATAGTTTTTAATATCTGCTGGACATTTAATTGATAACATTGTTTACATTATTTGTGAATGGGATATTTATTTTATTGCGGACATTTCATTTGTAGCAGACATGACATGAGATTTGCCTGAGTGGCCAGAAAAAAAAGATGGTGGGCATTTGCATTTAAGCAGAAATGAGGATATGTGTGACTGTAGTATGAATTAAAAATTGGGTTATCGTAAATTAGATGTTTTCCTGCTGGTGTAATTATTTAATTGGGGCTGCCATTTCTGACAATGCTTCTTTAATAGCTGTGGAAATAAATTAGCAAATAACCATACTCCTCTTTTTTTTTCTTGCATTTCAGAGAATCTTGATGGCATTTTTTATAGCAATTGTAATCATCTAACCTTAGTTTAACTTAAAACATTCGTTTTTGAATTGGTATAAATTTATCGCTATAGATCAGCAACTCTTAACCAAGGGGTGTATATCAGAATTATGTAAAGTTTTTTAAAATTCACATGTTTTAAAAGAAATCCTTGAATTCTGACGATTAAGAACTATCTCTATTAGAAAAAAGGAATTGTATATATTTTTATTTATCATAAAAGCTAACACAGGAATGTCTAATCCAAAACTTTTTCTGCATAGAATTTTCTTTTATATCCATGTCAGTTAGTAGAAAAATTAGTAAAATCACAGAACTTTTTACCCTTTTTTCCTCCTAATGTATATGAATTAAAACTTGAGCTGTCAGGGCAGTTCTGTGTTAGTAAATTATCCCTTTAGAGTTTGCCAGAAATTCCATGCTATAAGACATTTAGCCTTTCATTACCTTAGAGTACTATCCCTGAATCTTGGTATAACTACAGAATTAAATAATTTGCCCTTGAAATTTTACAGACCTTGGGGGATGTTCCCTGAGCATAAGCCACAGAATCAATCTACCTTACTTTGCTTCCTGTCTTCACCCTCCCAATTTCAGTCAAGTATTCAGTGCTTACTAGATGAAGTTTACACTTCATTTTTTCCTCCTTTGTTATGATTCCAAGGATAAGGGGTGGAATATTTTTAGAGTCATCTGAAAGTTTAGATTGATTCCTAAAGGGCAGTATTAAAAAGAGGATTTGTTAAGAATTGACTGGAACATTTAGGACCAACCAACTTACTTTTCTTACAACTGTGTTCTTTAAGTGGCCAAGATGTATTAAGATCTTTGTATCACTTCATTCCTGTTGCTCCTACCATAGGCTAGACATTGCTATTTTCATTAATCTACCTAAGTATAATCTTTTTCATTGTTGTATTAATTCTTTAAAGAAAATACATTCATTTTTGCCTCAGTTTTCAGTTTTCTAATCAAATTTTGCAGCTGATAGTTTGCAGGCTAGAAAGAGGACTCTGCCACTATCCTATCTCATTTTTGAAATTACAGTGTCTTCATTTCCACTTCCTTGCATAATGTTCTGCTTTGGTGGTGGTGGGAGTGGAAGGATTATTTAAGGAGTAAGGATCTACACTACCGGTGGGTTTAGGTCTTGACCCAGATCAAACACTCCAGTGCTTTCTTGGCAATATCCTAGATACCTAGTTATATTGTATATGATTTGTACACACCAGGTTTGTATATAATCCCTATCACCATTGAGATATAGTACATGTGGATTTAGAAATTGGGTTTCATGAGCTCTGGAAGTTTGCTAGGTGGAACAGCCTAAAATTGAAATGAAGAAAGGACTTAGTTAATTATTTAAATAGCCAGAGACTTGGAAGAATACATTGGGGGATCCATCCAAAGGAGAGACTCCTCCAGGAGGAATGGGAAATTAAGATGAGGAGTATTGCTTTAGGGATAGAAAGCTCTCCTGCGTCTGCCATTCTCCCCTTTTCTGATAAGAAATGTTATGTTTTTATCCTATTTATAAGTCAGTAATGATACTTATGACAAATTTGAATAGATCTATGATTTATAACAGAAAATAAAAGTTCGTAGGTAAACTAAAAAGGGAACAAGGGCTGTCAATAGAAGTGCTCTGACATCTTTGGATTTCTGAAAATTTACTTATCTTCATATATTTTAGAGATTCTCAATGGGGGATGCATAATAGAATTATCTTTGGAGATGCCTGTAGTATCCTACTCCAGAAAAACTGACTCAGAATCTCCTCAGCAATTCTAAACCTCCATAGGTTTTTCAGATGTTCACTTCTTGGTTAAGAACCCATTTTCTCCCAGTGCTATATTGAAGTTAAACTCTAAAAATCAGTATTTCATTTTGTTTTTACTATTGTGAAAATGTTTTATCAGTTACTTAAGAAAACTATTTTAACGTTTAAGATATAGTCAGTACAAAAAAAAAAAGATATAGTCAGTACATGGGAAGAAAATGGGAAAATGAGAAAAGACAAATGATGGGACTAAAAGTCATGAAGTTACATAGCTTCATTGTATAATCAATAATTAAAGTTATATTATGTTTTTATAAATAAACCTATATGCGAAAAACTCGCTTGGACCTGCCCTAAAGACCAAATAGAGTTAGTAAACCACACCTAAACTGAATTGAACATTGCTCACTTTGAGCTTTTCCTTTGAGTTGGTATTGAAAAATGACCTTTTCTAATTTCCCTACCTATCCAGTTTCCTATTATTTTCTAGAGGGAACATTTTTTTCTAGTCATATTTCCTCTGTTCACTTTTTGTCTCTTTCCGTTGCTCAGGTTGATGCTTCTGGCAGAATTTAACTGAGTCCCATATTGATGGTCATTTTAGTTAGATGTGGCTTTTAAATAAATCTTTTGATACAAAATGTGTATTTACATTGCTTAATACTCATGCTATTTTGAAGGAAATTAATTTTAATAGTTTTAACTTGAATATGTTTTCTTATAGCAGAAAAAGAAAACTAAGAACTTCAATCCACCAACACGTAGAAATTGGGAGAGTAATTACTTTGGGATGCCCCTCCAGGATCTGGTGACAGCTGAGAAGCCCATACCACTATTTGTTGAAAAATGTGTGGAATTTATTGAAGATACAGGTAGGATAGAAGTATCATTGCAGAGATTTAATTTAAAATTTCACTTTTGCTGTACCAACAGTTTGTCAAATGTTCATGATTCATAAAAGCTAAGTTTTGAAACAGATGTGTAGTTCTCATTAGGATTGATTGTGTTGAGTGTTCACTCTAGACATAACTATCTGATATTTGCAGAAAACTTTGTTCTTAGCCATTAATGCTTTTGTTGGACTTCTGTCTAATAAATGGGTAAGTTGAATGCTAAAATGTTAAACTTCTCTTATCTGGAATTTAGAATAAGTTGATTAAATTATGCTACTATTTAATCATAGTTAACGATTTAAACAGGTAATTTGAAAGTTTTGAATATTTTTTAAGTCTAGTACTATTTTTATTACCCATTTTACATATGAATATTTGTTTTAAATTTCATAGCAATATTTATAAACGTATGAAAGACTGCTGATTTGAGATGTTACCATTTATTTGTTAGCACTAGCTCTATGTGGTTTATATGCTGTATTTTTAAATATTTTTTGAGAGAGAGAGAGAGAATGGGAGTGGGGAGGGTCAGGGAGAGAGGGGGACAGAAGATCTGAACCGGGTTCTGCTCTGACCCCAGCAAGCCAGATGCAGGGCTTGAACTCAGGAGGGACTGTAGAGATCAAGACCTGAGCTGAAGTCAGGTGTGTGCAGATATCCTCGCTATTTTATTTTTTTGTTTTTGTTTTTAATTTTTTTATATCCTCACTATTTTAAAAACAAGCCTGTGGTACGTTTACTTTGCCCAATGTAAACTATTAGCTGAGGGTTGGAGTAGTCTAAAGTTGAGGAATAAAGGTAGAATATTATCATGTTTATTTGCATTTAAAGTGAACATGAGTTAATCATGAAACCTCAGTAATTGACTGGAGTATAAAATTGGATGGTTTGAAAACATGAACTAATCCCATCTTAGCTTTATTTGTTCTTAATGATCTTCTTTGATAAATAAGCATTGTTTAAAGACAAAACTAGGATGTCTGACCTATCTAAAATGTCAGGCTCATTTTTACTTCAGTGTATATTTTAGCCTTTTTAGTCTGATTATTAGCTAAGTTCTATACTAATTGGGTTGTCTGGTGAGAAATGCTGACTTCCTGTTGTAAAAAAGAAGTGGAATATGGGGCATTAACTGTTATCCACTAGTGTTAGAGTTGAAATAGCCTGTAATCTTCTCCCTTCTTTTAATAAGTGTTAATTTATAGAGCATACATTTGGATATACTCTTAATCATTTGTATTTTTCTTCAACAAAGTGTAGTTTTAGCCATACTTCTTATCTATATTTGTATCCATCTTTAGTAGAATAGAAATGTAAAGGTTCTTAGAATATTAGCTTTCTGCTCTGAACTTAAAGAATTCTTATTTGCTCTAATAATATAGTTAGGCTTTATGGAAATAACTGAGAAATTAGGAAATATTTTTCTTTAGAAATTAGAAAATAATAAAGTAATAGTCTTTTGTACATTTATTTTTATAATTAAAAATTCTCATTTCTTGAATATCTTCATGGTAATTGAGTGATTTGGTTTGAGGAAAATGAACGAGTTCCAAGTGTAAGATAAAATGAAACTCTATCCCATATTTTAGCATAATTTGAATTATTTCATTTAACTGACAGATAATTTATATATTTAAGTGCTTTGTTAGAAGTATACTGAGGTGGGGCTCCTTGGTGGCTCACTTGGTTGAGCATATGACTCTTGGTTTCGACTCAGGTCACGATCTCACGGGTTTGTGAGCTCAAGCCCCACATAGGGCTCTGCCGCTGACAGTGTGGAGCCTGCATAGGATTCTCTCTTTTTCTCTCCCTCTCTCCCTCTCTTTCTCTCTCCCCCTCTCCCTCCCCCCCCTTCTGTCTCTCTCCCACTTGCACACTGCTCTTTCTCTCCCTAAATCAGTAAACAAACATTAAAAAAATAAAAAGAAGTATACTGAGGTACTGTAAGATCACAAGAATAGTTATATAGAAGTTTCAAGTCCACTTCTTTTGTGTTGTTGTTGGTGGTAGTTCTAATTGATTTTACTGATTAATGCTGATCAGTTTTAGAAATTCTCAGTTGTTTGAATTCAATATCAAATTCTCAATATGCACTGTGGCACAACCATCTTCTGTTGAAGGTTCAACTTAATGTAAATATATATCAGATACTTACTGTTTAAAAGTTGAACTTGATTGTAGATCTTTAGGCATAGTAATATAAATGAGCAGTACTTTGTTGTTATAATTAAGTCTTGTTTAAAGAACTAAACTTTTTAAACAATCTTGAAGAAGCTATTACAGTAGTTTTAAAATTCAACTTTATTGATATAATTTACGTACAGTAAAATTCATCAATTTTAATAGAATGGTGAGTTTTGATAACTCTTTAGTCATTTAAGCACCACCACAAGCAAGATACAGAACATTCTCATCACCCCAAAAATCATCCAGTGTATTATCATTAAGTATGGTGTTAGCTGTTGGGTTTTTCATAGATGCTCTTTATCAGGTTCAGAAGTTCCCTTTTCTTATGTCCAAAATCGATGTTGATTTTATTGTGATTTTTTTCCTTTGTTGAGGTGATCATATGGTTCTTTTAAAAGTCTGTTTAATGGTAAATTATATTAATTGATCTCCAGATGTTAAAAACTTGCATCCCTGAGATAAACGCAACTTGGTTATAATGTTTTGTCTTTTTTATATGTCACTGGAGTTAGTTTGCTAAAATGTTAAGGATTTCTGCTTCCTGAGGGATATTGGTCTATGGTTTTCTTGAAGTGTCTTTGTCTGGTTTTGGTATCAGAGTAGTAAAACGGACACCACAGACTTGAATCTATTTTCTAAAAAGGTTGTACAAGATTGGTAATATTTCTTTCTTAAATTTGATATAATTCACCAGTGAAACTGTTTGGACCTGGATTTTTATTTCTGAGGAGGTTTTTAACTGTGGATTAAAGTTTTTTTTAATGTTTATTTTGACAGAGGTCACACATGTGTGCAAGTTGGGGGAGAGGCAGAGAGAGAGAGAATCTCAAGCAGGCCCTACACTCTCAGTGCAGAGCCCACATGGGGCTTGACTCATGATCAGGTCATGATGAGATCCAAGACCTGAGCTAGAATCAAAAGTGGAATACTTAATCAACTGAGCCACCCAGGCACCCCTGGATTAAATTTTTTAAATAGATACAGGGATGTACAGATTTTTTATTTCTTCTTGAGCAAGCATTGGTTTTCAAGGAGTTTGTCCATTTCATCCAGGGTGACAGAAGATTGTTTATAACATTCCTTAACAGTATTTTAATGCCTGTAGCATCTGTAGTGATGGCTTCTCTTTTGATTTTGTATTACTAATTTGCGTTTTTTTTCCCCCCTCGTATTAGAGATTTGTCAATATTACTGATCTTTTCAAAGAGCCAGCTTTTGGTTTTATTGATTTTTTTTTTCCTTTTGTCTATTTTTTTAATTGAGTGAATTCTGCTTTTAATTCCCTTTTTCAGCTTTCATTTGGCTTCTTTTTAGTGTCTTGAAGTAGAAGCCTAGATTAATGATTTTGACCAATCTTATTTACTATAATATTTTCTGTTAAACATTTTCCTCTAAGCTTGTTTTAACTGCATGCCACAAATTTTGGTGTTTACATTTGCATTCAGTTTCGAATACTTTGTAGTTTTCCTTTTGATTTTTTTAAAAATTTAACTCATTGGTTATTTTATAAGTATTTTATTTCTAAATATTTTCCAGGTATTTTTCTGTTACTCATTTTTAGTTTAATTCTCTTGCAGTTGGAAAACAGCAGTTTGATTTCACTGTAAATTTATTGAGATTGCTTTATAACCCAGAATATAATCTGTGTATGGTGGGACCTTGAGTAGAATGTTCATTAAGATTTCAGGTGAAGGGTTTTGTAAATGCAAGTTAAGAGGTCACATTCTTTGAGAGTACCGGTCAAGTCTTATATATCCTTAGTGATGTTTTTGTTGTTGTTGACTTGTTTTTTTTTAATTACTTAAAGAATACTAATGAAATCTGTAGTTGTGATTATATAGGTCTTTCTCCTTTCAGTTCTCTTAGGTTTTGCTTCATGTGTTTTGAAATTTTAGTTAGGATTATGTCTTCTTTATGAACTGAGCTGTTATTATTATAAAGCACTCTCTTTATGCTTCATAATACTTATGAAGTCTACTTTGTGTAATATTAATATAGCCAATGGTATTTTCCTTGAGTAATGTTTGTGTAGTGTATCTTTTCCATCCTTTTAGCCTATTTGTATCTTTATATTAGTGATGTACTAGTATTTGAAATATGTATCTTTAAACACAGTTCATTATCAAATATTACACCACTATCATTTATAATTTAAGAACCTTGTAACAGTATATTTAACCTTCTGATCCCTTTTTCTTTTGTTACACATTTTAATTATATATTTTTTTCTTTTATTCTTTTTTTTAAATTCCAGTATAGTTAACATGCAGTGTTATATTAGTTTCAGGTGTACACTATAGTGATTGAGCCATTCCAGAAATCACCCCATGCTCTTCATGACAAGTGCACTACTTAATCCCCATCATTTATTTCACCCATCCCCCTACCTACTTCCCCTCTGGTAACCATCAATTTGTTTTCAATAGTGAAGAGCTTGTTTTGGGGCATTTGGGTGGCTCAGTTGGTTGTGTCCAACTCTTGATTTTGGCTCACGTCTTGATCTCCCAGTTTTTGTGAGTTTGAGCCCCAGGTCAGGCTCTGCTGATGGTGCAGAGCCTGCTTGGGATTCTCCCTCTCTCTGCTCTTCCCCTGCTTCTGCTCTCTCTCTCTCTCTTTAAATGAATGAATGAATGAATGAGCAAGCTTCAAAGAGAGACTGTGTTTCTTGGTTTATCTCTCTCTTTTTCCTTTGCTTGTTTGTTTTCTTTCTTAAGTTCCACCTATGAGTGAAATCATGGAATTTGTCTTTCTCGGACTTATTTTGCCTAGGATTTTACTCTAGCTCCATTCAT